ATGTTTATAGAAACATAAATCAATTTTATTCAGTTGCCACTACGAGTACTCGTAACCGAACGTTCATCACAGTCTGCTCTGCTGTGAAATAGTGGGTTAACATTTTTTTGCGCTGTAACAACCCTTCAATATATTTAGTGATTATATCACGGTGCAGTGGCGTATCCAGGATTCATGCCTGTGGGTAAATAACTCAATATTATAGCTAAATATATATTTTTATATTAACAAGTAAGTACCTAATTAACATAATTACAGCTAGGTACTATGGTAAATAGTAGGTATTAATAAAAAAAAAATATTTTTCTTAGGAAAATGGTTTAATAAGTAACATTACATCACAAAATAAATATGTTAGGAAATAGTTCTTGGTCACATAGTACATCGAGTGCGGAACTTGGGTAGTCTTCAAATATTCTATGCTAGAGTTTAAATTCAGCCGAAACTACAGAAAATTAAGAGTTTTCTAATAGTCTAAGAGCTGGCTACATAAAAAACCTTATCATCGTTACATGGCTAACTTTTTGTGTGAAGTATCCTTTTGTGTAGCCATTATGAAATAGCCAAGTCTGCCAGTGCGATCCCGGGGCTTAAAGCGGGGGCGGCCAATCGAAAGGGTGAAAATTTGACACTAAAAATAGTATAAGGTACACGAGTTATAATTGCGAAAATAGCTTTTATTTATTATTAAGAAACGTGGAAACTTGTTGGCAGACACTTTTCTAGTCGCTAAAATGCCGAAAGACAACGCGAAAGAGGCATGAAATTTTAAAAATTATTAAAAAATTAAATTTGAAGAATGAAAAAAATTATGGCATACATGCATGCCGATTGGTGGAATTGTCAATTTATTGTAAAAGCCGTATGCAAAAGGGCAGACAAAAAGATCGTGGCTAAATCAACTGCAGACAGTTATCCAAAGCGCGATATTACTCTAGCGCTTTTAGGGAACGCTCGCCGCCTCATCCATTTAAGTATAGAAAAATCATGTATACGATTATATTATCTATCTATTTTTTTATTATTTCAATAACAGATATCATACATATATTTACTATTCTGTCTCACTATTTGTATCTGACTCATCGTACTGCAGATCCCCGCTCTCGCAAACGAGTCTTCCTCTGAGTCGATATCTGCACCGTAAATTTTTTGTAGACTTACATGTATTAGGTTTCAATTAATAAAGCGGCGAGCGTTTCCTGAAAACGCTTACACAGTGTGAGTCTTAAATAAGTGAAATAATTTTAAGGGTGATATATTTCGACCCCAGGAACACGTCTATGGTTTTTTTCGCAAAAAAGATGTAGAAAATCGTGCATTGTTATGTGCTTTATCAACCATGCTTACGGCTTTATTCTATGGCTACACACTAAAAAAATGGATGCAAATACAGAAAAAAACAGGTGGCTCACAAAATTATTTAAAAATATTCATTTTACCAATATTACTTCAAAATATCAATCAATTTCTTTTTAAATTTTCAAACTTGAATAAGTTGGTAATTAACATTCTAGACTTATTTGGAAAACGGGATAAAGAAAATATGTTTCTTTTATTGAGATCTACCAGCTCTGAAAATATTTGTTCTTAGTCAAGATTCACCCTGTAGAGTAATATCTCGCTTTTGATAATTGTCTACCGCTGATTGAGCCACGATTTTTTGTCTTCCCTTTTGCATACGGCTTTTCAAATAAATAAACAATAAACATGACATTCCACCAATCGACATGCATGTATGCGATGATTTTTTTTGTTAAAATTCCATGCCTCTTTCGCGTTGTCTGCCGGCATTTTAGTCACGAGAAAAATGTCTGTCAACAATTTTACACGTTTCTTAATCATAAATAAAAGTTATTTGACAATTGTAACTTGTGTACCTTATAATATTTTTAGTGTCAAAATTTCACCCTTTCGATTGGCCACCCCCGCTTTAAGTGACGATGATTTTTATGTAGCCAGCTCTCCGTCTATAAGTCGTTTTTATAAAAATCTACCATATATTTTAGATTCGATACTTCATTATCGGTTTTTTTTATTTAAGGAGGGAATAATAGAGCTATATGACCGTAGTATGTCTTTGTGTTTAACAAATCGTTCTTCCAAGTGTAATACTACGTGATCTAAAAATAGAATAAAGATTGATAATCTGTAATAATCTTGAGCAGTTTCAGTTTTAAAGTTCGGCCTGTTTTTTTGTCTACCTACTAGTTATTCGGGGTATTTTTTATTTCCTATCCAAACAATTCGTTTATGTTTCTGATTGCTTCTGTAAAAATATCTGCGAAGCTGGTATTTAAATTATTCTTTCGTATATTTTTAAGTTCCTTTAAACAATTTTCGGTCAGTAATATTGCCTTACATAATAATCAATGTTAACTGACTGCAGCATTTTTGATAAAGGAGTAGTAAACGCGAAAATAAATTCAGTTACAAAAAGCGCAATGAGAAATTCTGATGTACTTAAAGTATTTAACAATAACTTTGCCCCACTAGAAGTTTCTTTTTCTGGCCACTCCGCTATTTCCTCTAGCGCCAATACTGGGATTCAAAAGCTCTTTCATTATGGTCACGGAGTCTTGTCTTTGAACCGGTCTAGTAGGACAAAGTTGTTTCAGTCTTGACCTTTCATTATCCTGCAGCTCATTTACCTTAATAGTTTAAACATTTTGACGTTTGGGAGTATTAAAAAAATTGTACGCGTTTTCAATAACATCCATGCAGTTTCGTACGGCTGGAACTGAACTTGCATCAGATATAGCAAGGTTAAGTGAGTGGGACACACAATGTACATACAAAGCTGTGGGATATTGGTTTCGAATAATAGCTTGTACTCCGGAAAATTGACCACTCATTGCTGCTGCCCCATCATAGCCTTGGCCTTTAAGATTATTCAAATCTAAGCCCCACTTTGTCAAATTTTCGATAATTGTGTTCGCTAAATTGTTCCCGGTAATTGAAGTTTCTGGAATAAATTGTAGAAATGACTCTTTAATGGCCCTATTATTATTAACGTAACGAACGCAAAGAGAAAATTGTTCAATTTTGGCCACATCAGTAGTCTCATCAGCCAAAATCGAAAAAAAAATTTGCAGATTTAACTTCAGCTAATATTTTTTGTAGAAAAATAGAATTACATGCATTTATTTTTCGTTTTTTATGAGGCTGCTCAAGTACGTTAGATTTTCCGCACAGTTTAACAAGTGATTTTTTAATACCTCATCCCCGGCCTCGATTCGAAATTTTAACAATGCCCGAAATTTACCTTCACCATGCGTGCAAGAAGATAATGTGCCTAAGTCTAACAGTCCAGAATCTCCATGCCCTCGTGATGGAAGACCATTTCTACCGCAAAATATAACAGTTTTTATAATAGGTGATAATTTTAACCTATTTTCTTGCGCCTGTTTTTGGCCTTTGTGCCACAACATCTTGGATATCATCCTCGTCTGGTCAGGGAAGCTGTTGAAATTCACAAACATCCAAATAATTTCAACAGGAAGGAAGAAACTCTCTACTTAAACAGAATTTGGCATCCAGCTATATCTAGGACCAATGTAGTGGTACAGAGAAGTAGACCAGTTCCGGAAGAACCACCACCGGAACAAGCCACGCCCCTTCCGGCCGACGCATAAATACGCGCTAGCCCGACGCGGAGGCATCAGTCTAGTGTGAGCAATCGGAGCAAACACACCTCCGAGGATGCTAGCCACTCGTGCTAGCGAAACGTTAGGAAGCAATTCTAACCGACACGGCCTAAAAACCCGAAAAACCAAATTTCTTCAAACGATGGCCGCGAAAGCCTAAACTACTACATTTTGTAATAGTTATAATTTACTTGATAAAATATTGCTAATGTCATTAACAGGAAATTGATGTTGGATGTCTGAGCGCAGCTCCGACTCCGTTGAAGATAGATGGTTCCTCCCCTAACTGCAAGCACAAGTTTATGCCTAGTGAAGCATTGGCTGCAGACGATGTAGAAGGCATGGGATCACTTCCATCTTGTACAGGGTGGGTCAAATTCGACGCTTTTAAAACACCCTTTTCTATAGGAGATAGACGAAAACTAATATCGGTGTCTGGAGCTCAATTTTTATCAAAAACATGATTGTGAAAACCGCACATCGATATCTGTGACCGTTTATTAGTTACGGGGTGTTGTTCAAAAATGTACATTTTTAACAACTCGCTGTAACTTTTTTTCTATGGAAAATTTGGTATTTTTATATAAACATTTTCAAAGCACTTTTTTACGTAGAATTTAATGGTTTAAGTATATATTTTTTTAAATTAATAATTTAAGAGTTATCAACAGAAAAATTGATTTTTTATTTGGGACACCCTGTATATTTTTAATTAAATGAAAATAACTTAAAATTACCTTTCCAAAAATATAGCACACTTGATATTTTGTTATAGTACCCTTCGACCGATAGAATTTTTAAAAGTTTACCATTTTTAACTAGTAGGCTTTGGACCCCTTATTGATGATTTGCCCCTAATAGAACTCGAAAACATATTTTTACAGCAAGACGAGGCACCACCTCAGGACGCTTAAGTTATGAGCAAATCTTTGCAGCCAATTTCGAGAATAATTGAATAGCCAACCAAGATCCCAGCCGTTGGCCATCGAGGCCGCCGAGGTCGTCGGACTTAGTGCCTATGGATTTTTATCTTTGCGGAAGAATAAAGGCTCTTATTTTTAAATTGCCCCTATAATCTGGACAAGAATTAGAAGTACTTAGAGGTTATGCGAGGGTATCTTTGCCTCCTTGGCTTATAACAGGAAAAGGAAAACTGCAATTACAAATTCGTATTTAAGCATTTTTCAACTTTTTTCAAAATGGTAGAAATGACGTCAAAGAAATATTTTTTTCACAAAGTCATAATTTTTTTTTCATATTCTGAAAGAACATATTTTTTTTAAACAACTTTCATTAAAAATGTTTTTCAAAAAAAATGACTTATAATATTTTTTTTTAACGTCATTTCCACCATTTTGAAAAAAGTTGAAAAATGTTTAAATACGAAAAAATATACCTTACACACTGCCATTCAAATCCTGTCTTCGAAATTTGTATTTGAAGTTTTCCTTTTCCTGTTATAAGCCAAGGGCGGGAACACTTTTTCACTCCATGAAATTCCCACTGCATCATATTGACTAATAATATTGTTCGCCGTTTGCAACTGGTTTTTCCAAAATTCCATGAAATCAGCATTTTTTTAATTAAAGTTGCTCTTGACTTTTTGCCGTGCGGTCACGTTTGTACATTTTGGTGTAGCAAGGGGTGGTTTTGATTGTGAAGCATTTGAATTCTAAAAAATATATTAGAGTATTATTTTATTGCAGTTTCCACAAACAAAAGACAATTGGTGTAAAATAGCGTCGGAATTTAAAAGTAAATGGCAGTTTATAAATTGTGGGGAGCCCTTGACGGGAAGCATATACGCATTGTTCCGCCTCCTCATTCTGGGGCTCAATATTACAACTACAAAAACTTTTATAGCATCGTTCTATTAGCTCTTGTAAACGCAAATTATGAATTTATTTTCATCGATGTTGGGAAAAATGGTAGACATTCCGATGGAGGAATTTTCGAATACGCAGAATTTTATGATAAACTGTCAACAGGTGAGTTGTGTTTCTTCATGCTAAAGGTTTTTTTTATTAAAACGAGCTTTTTTTAGGTCAATTACATTTGCCGAATAATGATGAAACGGAGAAACATCTTAATTATGTTTTCTTAGGCATTCTTACTGGACGATAATTTTTTGAAACCGCATCCTCAAAGAGATATATATTTGGAAAATAGAATTTTTAACTACCGGTTATCCCGTGCACGCGATGTTGTTGAGAATACTTTCGGTTTACTAGCTGCACATTTCCGAGTTTTACACACAGCCATACACATTACCGATCCACGAAATATAACCTACGTAGTTTTGGCTATTTGTACTTTGCACAATTTTCTTATAAGGCGCACGACTTCGTATGCAACTCCCAGATCGTTTGATCAGGAAGATTTGGTGACTCACGAATTACAAATGGGTGAATGGCGAAATAGCAGTACCGAACCTGCCAGTTTACGAACAAGTACGCAAAAAAATGTAACAAACGCTAAAAGTAATCGCGAGAAGTACAAACATTCCGTGGCAACTTGACCGATAAGTTTCGTGTGACCGATAAGTTCCGTGGCAACTTGACATGATAAAGAAAGGAAAAGCTTAATTTATTATAACTCACCTGTTTTAATAAACTATTTTTCACGTCTGTTTCATTTTTGTTTTCTTGCACTGCAGTATCTTGAGATTCACTTTCATTATTATGCTCTTCTAATATTTGGCTTTCATTATTCTCTGCCTGTACTCCTGCCGCCTTGTCACACCCTGCCTCTAATTCGTCCGTGTCCATATTGCTTATACTAGCGGTTGGTATTTCCTGATCACTGGTAAATAGCAATAGGTCGTAATACCATAAAGTGGGTACGTAGACATCATCTACCCCTGTTCCACTTCGCATTGATTCTGCAACCCTTTTGACTTCCTTGCGAAAGGAACCTCTGAAGCTTTGAATCTTTTTTATGACATAGTCTTTATTTGCCTCAGGATAAATGGTTTTGCAGACCTCTACCAATTTCTCGTAGGCTTTATTTTTTAGATTTTTATTTGTATAGTCTTTGGACCTCACCTTCCATAGACACGGATATGATTTGTAAATTTCAATAAAATGCCTTATAAAGTCTTTCGACCAGTACCTACTATCTACCATGGCACACAAAATAAGTAATTTACTGATATCTGTAAAAATAAATTATTAAATAGTTATATAAAATTTTACAATAAACTTTACTTACTACTTATTATAATTTATTTTGTTACCCCTCAGGGGACTTGGAAGGACCTTCTAGTCCTTTCAAGTACAGGATTGACGCTCCCGAGATACCTCAGTCATGTTTGTCCCGTCTAATATGTTCAAGTCCTTTGTGTTATATATAAACCCTTAAGTCAAGTTGTTAAGCGAACCGTGGCGAGGACTGCATGGCACTTGAGGGCATCAAGTGTCACTAACGGAGCCTTTGAAGTACCTTCCCTCCCTTCAAGGAATTTAAGTGGGATTACCTTGGTAAAGGAGCACTGCCAGGATGGACCTCTTTTCTTCCTTACTCGTGGGACCAGCATCTCTCTTATTTCTAAAAATAATTTTCCCCCTTGAGGGTCTAAAAGACCCCGGATAGCAACTCCGCCGGATAGTCCGGTACTCTCGTATGATAGATTTTTTATTTTTAAACGAACAGATAACTTAACTTTTACTAATGTATCTCCTTTTCTTATTCATAAAATGCTTATATTTTCTCTAGGACTGGTTAATAACGTGAAAAAACTAAATGATGGTACCCTCCTAATTACAACTGATTCGGAAACTATCTCATCAAAATGCCTACATCTTAAAACTCTCTCTCTCTCTTTCTCTCTCTTTTGTTATCCCGCGCGCCAAATCGCACACGCCACTCAAATTATGCACAAGAAGAATTTAACGTTCTTTTCCCGCAATCAAGTCTTCACTCAAGTACGAACTGTTTTCGCACATGTCTGATTTACATCTACATTACCGTTCTTGCGCGCACGATTGGAATGCCACGTTCAGAACCCATGCGAAAGAGTTAAGTGTAAACGTACCTATTATCTTAGGTAGGTACAAAAAACGGTAAACACATTAAAAATATGATGAATAGGGAGATGTAGGAGTATTCCTTATTATAATTATACGCCTGGCGCTTATTCAACAATATAAAAAAATAAAAATAAAAATCTATAATGGTAAATTGCACAAGAATTAATGTTGTGTAGCGAAGAAGAAATTCTGGAAAACCTCATAGATCTGGGCGTAACTGAAGTCAAAAGAATATCAACCAAAAAAGATGGTATAATTACCCCAACCCCAAGCTTAATCATCACTTTCAAGCTTCACTCTCTTCCTGACCGTATAATAGCTGGATATCTTTCTATAAGAGTTCGACCGTATATCCCCCAGCCTCTAAGGTGTTTTAAGTGTCAAAAAATTTGGTCATGTGTCTTCAAAATGTTCAGCTTCTCCTGTATGTCCTTTATGTGGTAAATCTTCTCATGAGGATTTACCATGTTCCCCTCCTCCAATTTGTCCTAACTGCTCCGGTCAACATTCTCCTCGCAGCAGAGAAGGTCCGATTTACAAGCAAGAATACGAAATTTAGAAAATAAGAACAGTGGAAAAACGTCCATACTTTGAAGCTAAAAAACGTGTTAAGTCTAGTCCTCCTACGCTAACTTCTTCATTCGCTTCAGTTGCATCAAAATCCAAAATATCCTGTGGAATACAATGTAATATTGAGCCTCTCCTTCTATATCTTCACGATCCTATCACAGGGAATCTATCAAACCTTCCACACCCTTTTCTATTTCCCTCCCGCACCCTTCCTCTCCATCCCTTCCCACTTCCTCCCCCAAGCTTTACAGACCTTCCCCAAAAATTACTTCACTCAATCCTTCTAGTCTCCCCGCAACGGTTCCTCCGTCCATATCCCCACAGACATCTCATAAATCATCCAAACTACCCCTTCCATCTCCTCAGTCAGAAAGAAAAATATCAAATGCATCATCTTCATCAACTCGCTCTCGTCCCAAATCTCGTCTTTCTTGTCACTCTTCCTCTGCAGAAAGCATGGATCTAGATCCTCCTCTTCATAAGCCAAATAAACTAAGTAAAACAACATTTCATTATGCGAATTCTCCTTGAATCTTATTCTGCAAGGGAACTTCTACCTCCTTCATCTAATTGAAACTTTTAATTTAATGAAGACAATACTAAAAATTGGTAGTGTAACCAAACAATATCTTCAGATTCGATCCAAAAATAATTCAATGGAATGTTGACGGTATTATGACTCGTTATGATGATCTTAAGATTCTAATCGGTATTCACAACCCTTCTATTGTCTGCTGCCAAGAAACAAATCTATCTATAAATGATAAATTTTCCGTCAAACATTTTAATATCCATCGAGCGGATAGAATAAATGCTACCAGAGCCTCTAGCAGTTCAGCAATTTTAATTCGCAAATCCCTTTCATATTGCCACGCCCTTTCTAATTTGAAGTTCAATAAAACACAAGTTTACTTAATTAGGATGAGTTGCATAGAGGCCACTAGCTTTTTAATTTTAACAGCCGGGTGGTCGGGGTTCAAAGATATTAATAAAAGGGCGCCACGAGATTATACTCTATGAACTCGGCATAAAAAGATGTTACTATTAAGTAGACTTCAACACTAACCTCGAACTGTTGAGTGCAACTACCATGAACTTCAAATATTACTGTAATTTGTTAAACTTAAGTGACTCTAACTTAACCATGAGACTAGACTGCAAATAATACTACTAAAAATGTTTAAGTAATTTATTGAAATATTAAAAGTTAATATTTATATAAAAAAATGAATGAAAGGTAGATTGAAATATGTTAAGAAATTTTAAATCGTTAAGAATTACTAATTACAAATGCAAAATGAAAAATGTTTTAAGCTATACTAAAACTAAGACGTCATCCCCCTTAACTAAAGCTAAGTATGCTCTAAGGGCGGAATACAAATATCAAACTAAATCTAACTAATATCTAAACGATCTTACTCTAACGTAATGTCTTGACCAAGTACTTGCAAACTACTAAAACTTCCTCCGGCTTAGCTATAGTGCATAGCTACAGGGTGGCTACGACGGTGTACAGCAGCTCGATGCAATGTCACTGGAGCCCGTCAGCAAATGTACAGGCAGGTGTAGGACTTCAAAAGGTGAACATAAAAAACCCTAAATAATATTGGTTGTCTTAGAAAAGAGCCTCAATTATAGAACAAGGACTAGCACAACGTGCAAGAGGCAATTTGATTGAAAAACTTCTAGATGACCTGTCCCTTTGTCTCCTAAATAATAACGATCCAACTTTCTTAAGTTCAGCATATGGAACTTTTTCCAACATTGATATCACGATTTCCTCTCCTATCCTTTTTCCTGACCTAACCTGGCAAGTCTCCAACGACACGTATGGAAGTGACCATTTCCCTATAGTTATTCATCCCCCCAATAGTAATTCTCAAAACTCTTCCCCAAGTATTACCAGATGGAATATTAAAAAGGCTGAATGGTCTTCATATCAGTTAGCTTTCATCTCATTTATAGATGTAGACGGCCCTCCTGAACTACTTCTTTCTCGTCTGAAGAATGCCATTAACCTAGCTGCCTCTGAGACTATCCCAATAGTTAGTGTCCGTAATGGTAGGCTTCCGGTACCTTGGAAGAATGTAGAGTGCAAAGAAGACATAAAACTGCGCAAAAGTGCTTTGTCTAAATTTCGAAGCAACCCATCTTCAGCAAATTTCATCGCTTTCAAGCGTGCCAGGGCCAGAGCTAAGCTGATTATCACAAAATCTAAAACCCAGTCACTTCTTCCAAAAAACCTCTTGTCACTTCTTCATTGAAGTCAACCACTACAACGTCAGTTATTTGGAACAGTTATCGCAGAATTAAAAGTCTTCAACAGAAAAGGGTTGTTGGACTCACGACAAATGATATTTGGGTTACACTGCTGAACACTTCAGAAACACCTCGCGCACAACAAACTATTACCCAGAATTCATGAACTTCCTCCAAAGTTCTTCAATATACTTCAAAATGAATGGGACATCCTCGAGGGAACTAATAAACTTAGATCACATATGCCACTTCTTCATCTGTATCAAAATATATATTCTCTTGAACGCGGATCTTTTTGTAAAGTTGTTAGACCCTCACAGGACACTCATATCTTACCAAATCATATATTATCAGAAATGAACCCCCTCCGAAATGCACCTTATGCAATAACTTAATGTCAATGAGACACATTCTTTTTGAATGCTTACCTGTTGCCTCCCATAGGCCTAGATTCTTTAATGCTGTTACCTATGAGAATATTTTCGCGCCTTTTAACATTTCGAGGATTAATAAAGTTATGGAATTCTTAGACAGCATCAACATAACGAAAAAACTTTAATTTCTAACTTAAAGTAATTTAAAATAACCTCATATTGAGTAAAGCTTGTTATTGAGCACTAAAAACCCCCGCTGTTGGCGCGCCCTATAAATCAATACCCCCCTTCCTCTCTCTCTCTCTCTTGTATAATGTATAATTTACATGAGTGTTTATTTAGCTTGAATCATTTTGAATATGGGTAAGTTGTGTTATTTGGCGAATACATATAATATATTTATAGTCATAATCATAATACATGTTGAAGGTCTGACAAAAATTGGACTTTTCTAGCTTTACTTTTTGCAAATTCATTAACAAGATCTTCCGTATCAAGTTGGTTTAAAAAGTCAGACTCTATAGAAATGATTGCAAAATTTTCTAACCGCTCTTCGCTTACTCTAGATCCCAAATAATTTTTTATCAATTTTAATTTAGAGAATGACCTCTCTAGTGACAGACTAGGGACCTAGACAGACTAGCATTTTTAAATATCTTTAAAATTCTCAAAAACCAAAGATTTTAAACATATTTAGTCCTTATAATAAATACCTTTTTTGGGCCCAAGAATCCAAAAATGAAATAAAATGCTGGGTGTATGTATTCCATAAGAAAGAATATAACTTTGGTATGGATCTTAGTTCTGAAACACCTTGTACATTTCAGAATAATTTTAAATTGTGCACATTGCCTCCTCACATATACTCCAATAATATTTTATTTCTACATCTTTCCGTTTTCCGTTTCTACATCTTTCCGTTTTCGTAGAATCAACCAAGGCGAATGAGGTGCGCCTCCCTGTATATGTATATGCGGCACGCTTACCCGCTTCTTACTCTTCTTCCCCCCTTTACTTGTTTTTTATAAATTCGAAGGTGTTGGCGGAGTTTGGGATATTTTCTATTCTCTTCTGCCCCATAAACTTTATGGAGCAACCCTCGCCGTTCATGAGCTCTTCAATAACATTCTTGTTCAATTGCTGAACAATTCTTTTGGGGAGAAAGAGTACATTCTCCTCCAACTCAACAATCGCCGATTCTCCAAAGGGGGATTTGAACTTCTTAATGCTCAAGACCCGATGATGTATCTCAATTTCTAATTCGGTAGGATTCATTTTTTTATGTCACATCGGACCGCCGAATTTAAGTTTTCCATTTTTTTATTAAATTGTCAAAAAAAAAGAAAATGAACAGAGGAAGAACACACAGTCAACTGCGCCCCGCACTTCCCTTATCTTGTTTATTCACTATGCCGCGCAATGAAAACACGTATACGGGAGGAAAACTAAAAAAAGTTCTTTTCCACACCGTGAACACGTTTTCCCCAAATCTCGGGCATAGGTTTGGGGATCCATATAATAATGCGTGGAAATAAACAAATAAAAAATGTCCTCGTTCGGATCCGCTTCTTTTAGTTCATGACTGAACCAGCAGTATTCGCAGAATACTGCCTGTGAATCTACTACTCCAATGTAGCTTTCCACTATACATATATTTTCAAACTCGTATATGGAGCGTCTTTGGAGTAATATGGGTTCATCTTGAACCTCCTCACTATAATTACTGTGGTAGTCACTGTCACCACTATCACTCATTTTTTTCGTCTAAAACAAAAAGAAAGCGTCCAACGTCGATAATGAAACGACTAACGCTATTATTTTCATATACCACCATATATAATTCAAATCATGTTAGAAAAAAAATGTGGTAAAAAACAAAAAACCACATTCACAAACAAGGTATTTTTGTCTTAAATCATTTTCTAGTACAGGGACGCGCCAAGTATTTTCGGTTCCGTCGTGCGAAATAAGGGTATGCGCCTTTCTCCAATATTATAATATTAAGCAAAAATTTGCACTCTTCTCTCATAGTTGATCGTTGAAATTTTTGAAGAAAACTATACTTTTTAGTATTAAATTATATTATTTAGCTTGTGACAAACAAGAAGTAAACAAAACATTTAAATTATTAGTAGAATACGAAAGTATTCTATTATAACAAAACATAACATAACAAAACAAAACAAAAACAGTATCAAAGTTATAAAACATTAATATAAAATATTTAAAAAAATAAAAGAACAAAATGGCGAATACATATAATATATTTATAGTCATAATCATAATACATGTTGAAGGTATGACAAAAATTGGACTTTTCTAGCTTTACTTTTTGCAAATTCATTAACAAGATCTTCCGTATCAAGTTGGTTTAAAAAGTCAGACTCTATAGAAATGATTGCAACATTTTCTAACCGCTAGATCCCAAATAATTTTTTTGCCTAGCATTCCAAAAAAACAATTAACTTTACATTTCATTTCTTGATTTCAAATTGTTCGTGCTAAAATTCGTGCAATCTATAGAATAGCCTTCAAGGAACGGACGAT